GCATGGCCTGGAAGGGTATTATCTCCCTCCACAGCTCATCCCTTTGTTCTCTCTGCCTCCAGTCTGCATGCAGTCATGAGAAGCTTTCTTCTGCCATGCCCACTATGAGGCCATCCTGCCTTGGGGCCAGCTGACTATGGACTAAAACACGAGCCAAAACAAATTTGTTCTTCCTTAAGTTGTGAGTGTCAGGTACTTTGGCCCAGCAAGGAGGAAAGTGACTAAGCCAGCTCAACTAAATTTATAACAAATTTGAAAAGTTAGAAGAAATGGGAAACTTCTTAGCTAAATACAAATCGCCAAAATAGATCCAAAAGATTTAAATAGATTGCTTACCATAGATGACACTAAAAAAGTGATCATAGATTTACCCAAGGAAATGGGCACCAAAACCCGATAATGCCTTTTCAAAATCTTTTCATAGGTGAGTTTTTATCTCGCCTTTAAAGGAGACATGATTTTTAGGGTATTAAGGCATTATAGACCAGAGCAAGAGAAGAAATATTCGGTAATACTTTTACATGAAAAGAATACAAAAATACAAAATGATTCCAATCTCACTCATGAATACTGAAACATTATTCTAAATAAAATATTGATAAGCAATCCAGCAATCTAGCAATGTATCAAAATAACAATATACTATGACCAACAAGTTTATTTCAGTAATGTAAGAGTAGTTACATTACCATTGTATCAAAAACTTAAATGAGAGCCTGGTGTAGTGGCCTATAACTTTAATCCATGCTATTTGGGAGGCTAAGACAGAAGGGCCACAAGTTCTAGGCCAACCGGGGCAATTTACAGAGATCCTGCATCAGTATAAAATTTTAAAAGAGCTGTGTATGATATAGCTCAGTGGTAGAGTATCTAAGGTCCAAAGCCCTAGGTTCAATGCCCAACTGCAAAAAAGAAGAAAAACAAAGAAAGTTTAAAAGAAGGCTAAGGGTGCTGGATGCTGCGGTACATGACTATAATCCAAGTACTTGGGAGGCTAAAACAGAAAGGTTGTCATGAATTTGAGGCCAACCTGCAATACACAGTGAGTTCAAGGCCAACCATGATCTACATAGCAAGACCCTGTCTCAAAAAACAAACAATTAAAAATAAATAAATAACTAAATAAGGGCTAAAGTTATAGCTCAGTGGCAGAGTGCCTGCCGAACATGCATGAGGACTTCGGTTTGATCCGCAACAGTACGAAAATAACAACAAAATAAATGAAAAACATAACCTACATGGATCAAGAGATGCTGAAAAAGCATTTGATAAAATACAGCAACCACTATTGCCTTTTCAAAATCCCTTCAACAAATGTGGAAACTACTTAAACATAATAGACTATTTAACAAACATTACTAGGAATGATGGAAGAATATAGAAAATATTTCAATTAAAAATCAATGGTAGGGTGAGTACTATTTTTTCTTTAGCTCTGTCTTTGAGTTTCTTGCAAATGCAGTAAGAAAATGAAAGACTTAGTGTAATCACTGAGAATAAAGGAACATGATACTTGTTATGTCAAATATGCAATGGTATCACAATACTGGTAGTGGAGGCAAAAAACTCTTAAGAGAACAGCACTCAAAAAAGCTAATTGGTTATAACCACAAACAATGGGCAGACTACCACAGCTAGACTGACCAGTAAGATGGGAAAAATTACCAAAAGTAGACATCACAGAGTTGTTACTTAGATGTGATTATGTCCAGTAAACAGCTCAGCTTTGCTCATAAGCCACATACCCTAGCCTCAAGGGACATAGACTCTGCAGGACCTCTATTAAAACCGTGCACTCTTTCAGCCTGCATCAAATTAAACCTGAACTTCCCATTCAGTGAGTGATTTAAACTCAATATAGTATCATATTCATATGAGTACCTAACATCAAGAATTTATACCTGTTGTATGCGCCTTATAAAATTAAGGGTTTACAGTGTAAATAAACTGCATTCAAGAGAGAGTATGTCATCTGACCTGTTTACTTCCTTTAGTCTATTCTAAGGTGCTTGTGACAGAAGAAAAGATGAAACTAAAATAAAATTCACCAAAACTAACTAGAGAAATTGGTCAGATAGCTAAATGTAAGTTAAATATTTTAAAAATCAATAACCATTTCTATTCTAGCAAAAAGCACTTAGGAATGGAAAGAGGGAAAATACTCCATTCATAACAGAAAGAAAGCTGTTAATATTTTAGGAATAAAAGTGTCAAGAAAGGAATAGAATAGATAAGAAAAGGACAGATTGGGGGGTTGGGGATTTAGCTCAGCGGCACAGCGCCTGACTGGCAAGCGTGAGGTCCTGAGTTCAATTCCCGGTACTGGGAAAAAACCAAAAAGAAAAGGACAGATCTAAACCAAAGACATAAAATAACATCAGAAAAATGGAAATAAATGCCATTGTGTAAAAAAAAGAACTAGATAATAAAAAGGTAAAATACAAATTTAATGTAATTCTAACTAGAATGCTAATAGAGTTGGAGAATTGGTGAGTAAAAGTGATCTTAAAATGCGTATGCAGCAAAAAGTGCCAAAAGAATAACTTCCCAAAATTTTAAGCTAATGTAATAAAATCAATATGATCTTCATAAGGAAAGACACAAATATATGAAACAGAACAATCAATAAATAGAGTCAGCTTGGCATGGTGCCGCACACCTGTAATTCCAGCACTCAGGAGGCTGAGGCAGGAGAATCGTTGGCAGTTCAAGACCAGCTTGGGCTACAAAGTGAGTTCAAGGCCAGCCTGAACTGCATAGCAAGACCCTGTCTCAAAAAGACAGAAAGTAAATAAATAAACAGAGTCTAACATACATAACATAAAATAGCTGACAAAGATGCTTATTCAATTGATAGAGAAAAGTAGGAATTATTTAATGTATTATTTAAAACTGGTATACATCTTTGAAATAACAATCTTAAACAGGACTGGAAATCCAGAACTTATATAAGACGAGAGTCACACTAAACATGAAAAATGTACAAAAAAAGTATATGGACATATCATCTGTAAAGTCAATGAATACACATTTCGGGAAGGTAGCTCAACAATAACAGCAGACAAAAAGACAACACCAAAAATATAAAAAAGAAGTATTATAAATTAAGAAAGATATAACCCACAGGAAAACTGGCAGATGATATGAATAGACAAAAAACTCGAAGAAGAATAAATTTAATCTGACAAAAAGAAACAAGATATAGTAGCCAAGGACCTATACCTATTAGATTATCAAATTGTAAAAGAATCATAGCTTATTTTCTAAGAATATAAAGAAAAATAATCTCATATAGTACATACAAAAGCAAAAATTAAAGTATAACAGTCTGCTTTTTAAAATATTGCAAATTTATCAACATAATCATATATAAATATTCATATATATCTATCCACATCTATCTACAAGTTAAAAGCAACAGTACATAAGAGCATATGTACAATGGTATTTATTTTACCAGTAGAAATCTGGAAAGTGAATGTTCATCGATAGGAGAATGATTGGATATCTTATTGGGTATTCATTAACTATTTTCTAACCTTATGAAAGAATAAGACCCCTACCCATAGAATTTCATAAGAATGTGTGTGTGTCACACCTATGAAAATACAGAAAAATACAGAAGGATAAATATTGGTTTGCTAATATGCAGGGATGGTATGAAATGGTAGAGCTAGGAACCAAACCAAAAACAAAGGTGGGGGACAATAAAACTAACCACTATAAAAAATTAATTTAGCAAGCATGTTTATTTATTTATATATGAACATAAATGTATAATGATATTAAATTTTGAAAGGATACAGTGAAAATCTCAATATACAACATGGTCTCTGCTTATTAAAGAAGAGAAAATCAAAATTATCTCTTGGGGGTAGGATTAGGGGTTATGTTCATTTTCTCCTTTATATGAATCTGTATTTTCTAAAATAAGAATTGTTATTTCATCATAATGAAATAAAAACAATAAATGTTACTTTTAAAATGTTATGCTGAATAATTGAGCTCATTTTGGAAAATCAAGAGAAGGAAATAGGGTTAGATATCCCGTTCCTTCAGGATCTGTCCAAGTAAGAAATATATAAAATCCAAATCCATTAGCCCTCACCCAGTTGAAAGTAACTCACCTAAGGAAACTAAGTGGCTATTTCAAGGAGGCTATTTGATGCAGCAAATGGGATATTTTTCTCCCTACAGAACACTTTCATGGCTTAAGTAAATCAGAAAGCCATTTACAACACCCTCAATTATCCAATGATCTGCTAGGCTCTTACTTCCTGTTCCCTCCTTCTGGCTTTAGGGCATTTCACTGCTCAGCAACAGCTACAAACTGAGGGCCAGGGAAGGGGGAACACAAATGAAATGAATTCAGTCAATTTGGTGTTTCATTAGCAACTGTAATAAAAAGTTTGTTAAGTGTGACGGTCTAAACTCATGATAAAATATGAGTTCCAGGACTCTTAAATTTTATTTACATGAAGTTGCCTTCAGAGAAACATGATTTATTAGCATACACTTTAATGAATTAGATGCTTGCTAGTTTTGAAAAAGTCAGGACTTGTAACAAGGTGATAATTCTCTCCTCATTTTACTTTTCACTTTAAGAAAAAAGCATAAAAATATAAGAACAATGCCCTTCAACGTGAAGAACCACATCCTTAGTGGATCACAATGCAAAGATGCTGGGAAGAAGTTTTCTGGCACTGAGCATGCTCTCTAGAGCAACTTTAGGAGGGCAGCAACCTTCCAAAGGAATATGCCTTAGCCATATAAGCACAAAGACTGGCTGAAAAGTATTTATCAGGGCTTGACAAAGTGCACAGTTCCATGTACAGTATTTCCCTGTTTCAGTGCACCCTCATAGATTTTATCCTTTGCAAAATCCCAGGGACAGAGTGAGGTAAACCCATGGCATTCAGAACACATCATCCTTTGTGATCAAACAGATAAAATAGTCAGAATAGTAATAGCAATAGAACAAAAAAACAATTTTCTCTTACTTAAAGACCACGATAGCTCCCCGACATGGAGGACAGGCCAAGAGGAAGATCTGCAATTGAAAGATTAAGAATGGTTAGCAGGGGAAACGCTGAACACAGACAGTGTGACTTTAATAGTAATGTACAAACAACAACAAAGCCCCCAAAACTCTAACATAAAAATTAAAAAGGTAAAATTCTTACGTTTTATACATCAGTTAAAACTAAAGAGGCAAGCAGGTGGCTTTCCAAAGTACATGTTTGTGGGGCTGGGGATTTAGCTCAGCGGCAAAAGCGCCTGCCTGGCAAGTGCAAGGTCGTGAGTTCAGTTCCCGGTACCAGAGAAAAACCAAAAAAAAAAAAAAAAAACCAAAGTACATGTTTGTGTTTGCAACACATGTATGCATGAGAGAGTTGGGGGGAGAGTGTGGCAGGAAGACCAACACTCGATTTTTCAATGCTTCAAATTCAATATGGCGTAAGTACTCAATCATAGAAGCGTTTAACTAAGGGCAGGTAAAAATAGATTCTGAACCTGAAACACACACACATGCCATCTGGTTTGCCTCCCATGGGGGAAAGTGGGTCTATCAATACCCAGCACTGCCAAATTTAGACATAAAAACACAGGCCACTAAGTTAAATTTGAATTCCAAATAAACAATGAATAATATTTCGTTATAAGTAGGTCCTAAGTAGTACATATAGCGTACTTATACTAAAACATTGTTCACTGTTTATTTGGAATTCAGATTTAACTAGGCATCTTGTATTTCATCTGGCAACCATATCAAACTGCCACCCCCAGGTTCCAAAGCTAAATTTGATTTGATTATTTTTTGTTTGTTTCTAAGCATGTCCATTTAGTTTTACTCTTCTATTTTCTTCTCAGGTAAAACCAAACAAAAAGAATCCTGTCCTGAGACACTAATCAGTTTCTTGCTACTTTGTATGGCCCACGCTTGGGCAACAGCCTTTGAAAACCTGCAACTATGCCGTGATTCTCAAATGTCATCAAAGGGACATAAAATCCACTGTAAAACTTGCTAAATATACAAATTTCTGGACTCTCCCATTAAAAAGTTGGACTTCACAAATCTGAGATCCCGGGAACCAGCCTGTTTAAAAAAAGCCCCAGAAGTCTGACTAGTCTTAGTAACCTGACATGCTGCAAGTTCAATCTTTGAACTATGACAGAGGTCAAAGACATTCAGCAGAAACTCATGTTTGCGACATTCCGTTGCCTACAGTGACTTAGTGCTATGGTTTAGAAAGTACTGATATGTGTCCCTAATTTTCTTGAGAGCTTTGATGAATACAGACTATCTGCATTATGGACCCATTGGCTTTGTCATGTGTATGCACTTTAGCATTTGGTTCCTCAGTTCTGAGTCTACAGTTAGAAGAAAAGGGTACTACCAGGAAAATCACTTAAAGGAAAGACACATGCTTGGCAGCTTGAGTCCCTGCCAAAAGGAAGAGAAAGAATGGAAAAAAGAAGGGTCTTAAAAAGAACCCATCAGAAATCTATCACCTGTTCAATACTTCAAAGAACCCCTCCAATGAAAGAGCCAGCAAGAACATGCCTTTCCCCTATGAATTAATTTGATGAAAAGTACAAAATCAATGATCATAGGTGTCCGACACTTTATTAGCATCTGTCAAATCCAAACTGCCTTAAAAACTGAAATTTTGTTTCTTCAAAGCTAATGTGGTACCAAAACATGACTTGAGTGGAGGTGACACTATTTGTACCTTATTTATTCTGCTTATGGTGAATGTTCATATATTTTCCATAAAATAATAATAATGTATTTGATTATGAGATTCTGTCCCAGTCTTGGGGGTATATGCTAAAACCACTACAATACATTATATTGCCTTTCTAAAATCCAAAAGATTCTGAAATATGTCTGACTCTACTGGTTTTAGACAAGGATTGTAGACTTGGAATTTCAACATCCAAACTTTAGCTTATCCCCACTCCCTTTCCCACCCCTCAGGTGCAATCTACCGCAGAAATAAACAAAGATAGTATTCTCTACCCCTAATCCAAGGGTATAGTTACTCACCTTAGGCAAGTGACCAAGTGGAGGCTGCACATAGTTACCCAACATCAGGCCCATCAAAGACTGTGAAGCTACAGTATACAGAGGAGAAAGGCCCCCAACCACCTTGGAAAGGTCCTCTATACTGGAATCCCCAGTCTAGCAGTCTTGTTGAGTTTCTGGAATACTCTAGAAACTCCCAACATGCTAAACACAGAAGTAAAAATACAACACTGGGGCTCACAGCTAAGGCTTACTTTTCTATACCTGTAGCCAAGAGGGGATAAGTAAATTCTTGGGTGCTATTCTGATTTAGGTCTAAAACATCCCCCAAGATTTCATATATTCAGAGATGGGGCTGTTGGAAGGTAACTAGCTCATGTGGGTGCTAAACTCATCAGTGGATTACTCTATTGATGAGTTCATAGTTGAATGTGCTGTTCGGAGGTGGGCCACTTGGGGCACGATCTGGAGGGTGTATTCTTGCCTCCATTCTCTCTCATTCTCTCTCTGCTTCCTGCTTGCCATACGTTGAACAGCTATCTTCGACCAGGCCCTTCCACTGTAATGTTTCTGCCTTGCAGCCTGCCAACTTTGAAATAAACCCACTGGAAACTATGAGCCAAATTAAACTATCCTCCTTTAAATTGTGGGAGCTGAGTATTTTGTCCCAGTGACGGGAAAGCTGACTAATACCTGGGCCAATGTCCCTAGAACTCCATGTGGCTGTTTTTGATCTTCCCTATCCTGAAGTCTAGGAACCTACTAGAAAGAACAAGCATCTAGTTCCAATCTAGCTAACTGTCCTATTATGCTCCACCAGGCATGGAGCGATCTTCAACTTTTGATTCTAAATGAGTTTGCCAACACTTACTTTCATGAGACCAAGTCATTCTAATCAGCACCCTGGCCTTTCTCATCTTGCCTGCCTATTCCCATCATGAGGACAGAGGGTATTTTTCAACAATCTTTAAATCACATACAGTAGATTTTAAAACCCTAAATTCAACATATACCATTTCTAATAAGCCATGGCCTCCTTCAGCAACTTCAACAATTTATGATACTCAACCTCTCTGCTCTGTCATGCCAGGGTCACATTTATAATCACTATTAGCCAGTGAAGCCTTGTGAAAATAACACTTCAGAGGCCCAAGAGCCCACAGCCTTGGCATGGCTATCCTTCCTTCCTTCCTTGACTGGCTTTCAACTACCTCCACAGTATGGTAGCATGTGCTTTAGCCTCGTAGACAAAAAGCTAAACTATACCTTGGGCTGCAAACAGAGGAGGAAGACAGGACATTTATAAGTGCAAACAAGGAAGATGAGAATGCACCTGAGCCTATCCCAGCACCAACTCAGCACATTATTTCCTACTAAAATCTGCCAAGCTCGGCCCCTAAAGTAAAGGGCACAAGCAGGTGGCATACAGAGAAGAGCTACTGAAAAATGCTACTTCCCCATCACCTGGGAGGCAGATAGGAGTGTGTTATTAAATTCCATACCACAGGGCCAGGGATTAGCTCAGTGGCACAAGCACTGGCCTTGGCAAGCACATGGTCCTGAGTTTGGCTCCCGGCACCAAAAACCAAAAAATTCCATTGTACAGAAGAAGAAATAGAGAAAGCAAAGCTCTGACAAGGTTTCAGGTGAGAACGCAGGACTCCTAATTTCTAGTTCAATGCACTTTCCACGTCACACCCAACAAATATTAGGCCTCATAGGTCTTATCTTCTTTATACTTTAGCCCTGCCCTTTGGCCATATGGCACACAGGGAGTCACCCCAATGGCCACCTACCTGTGCAACCAGATGGCTCTTAAGGATGACTGATAAAGTCTACTTTCTAACATGAGACAAGTCAAAACACAAACCCAACACAGCAGCAAATCACACTTATACACATGACAGTTAGTGTCTTACATTCCTCAAAGACAGCTTCATTTAATTCCAATTTTCCTGATCCCCAAGTCTAGTGGGCACTTGTAATTTTTGAATGCTTACAAAACTGACTTCTTTTTTGGCTGATTATTCCAGAAAAATCCACAAGTTCCATTCAAATCCACCATTCTCTTAGCTTCCCCAGGAATGATTCTTATACTATTGCAAGGTTTTCCTGTTCAAAAACTTGTACATTCAGCTCCTTCTTAAGCACTCAACTGAGGCATCAACTGCTGCCCCAGTTCCTCCTCTAGCTGTGAACTGCCCTGGTTTAAGTACCCATCATCCCCACCTCCAAACTCTCAGCCATCACTTGTCTTGCTTCCTATTCCTAACCCCAGTCAGATCAGCTCCAAGCTCACTGCCATCTTTGTTCAGCCTCCCATTCACTTCTGCACTATTCCAACATTAGATTCAATAAAAGACCATTTTTGCAGCATGTAAAGAAGATAACACTAGTTCACAGGAGGATGCTTACACTAAGAGAAACATGACTTAAGAGAGGCCAATCACTATAGACCATCCTAAAGGAGATGCTTGCCAGACTATGCAGTAAAAGGGTACAAGAAAACTAAATGAAAGGAAAATATGGAGTGAGAAGTATGAGAAAGTGGTATCTGGACTCCCGTTCAATCTCCCCTGGCCTAGTAGGTCCCAGTTCTCCTGATTCTACCTCTTAAGATAGCACCAAGCTATGCAGGGAATCCTAAGGACAAATGCTTATGACCACTACATGCCATGGGGAAGACAAACCTCCTGGGCTACCCAAAGTTTGCCTTATGGCTCTATTTATGAATGCTTATACCTGTGAGCCCTCATCAGCTCTCTCTGGACCACTGATAATCTCTTCACTCGTCTCCCGCCTTGAGGTACACAAGAAGGATTTATCTAAACTACCATTCTGCTATGCCATTTTCAAATTTTCCACAACTTGCCAGGGCCTACAGAAAAGCTCAAGTTCCTATACATAGCAGGCAAGGCTCCAGGCTCCACCTATTCTCCCAGCATGGCGGTCTCATGCATTATGCTAAATCATATCTTGAAAGTACTTCATGTTAATCAAAGCCTTCTAAAATCAGTAAT